GCCTAACGCCTCATTTCAATCATACTTACGCCTCGTACTAATTAATTAAACGATTTACACGAACTCTCGCGGATGGTCATTATCAGCTAATGTTGCGTCGGCGAAGATGGTGAACGCATCAACCAAGGGGGGAAGGGAAAGATTCCACCGAGGGCTCAGCCATCGCTCGTCTCAATTAGCACTTTACGCGAATGCGAAAAATGCCGGCCGATCATTCACGGAGATAGCACGCAGAAACGCGTGTAACGCCCTCCTCGCTGCGATACTTTCGGCAACCTCCTTTTCGGTATCACCGAGGTGTCCTCCACGCGTCTCCACGGTTGCAAATGCATCTCGCGATAAACGCCATGTCGCTAGATGCCTGGAATTCCTGATTTGATCGATCGTCACTGCGGTGGATCCTAAAGATGCTGTGCGAGAGTAACGAGAAGATTTTTTTATGTTACCGTTTCGGTTACCAAAGGTTCTTCCTTTTTGATCCTAATTGTTAACTATCTTGGATGATATCCCGCACACGATATATAATGTATATAGATTCCTCGAATATTAAATCATATCTTCTATATTTTTCGACTTTTGTTTTATATTCTAAGTTTCTTGAACGGTTTTTGCATGCTGGGCGATTTAGAATTGTGTTCATTAAACGCCAATTGTTTTAGATCTCCAATATCCTTGATATTTTTCAGACTCACGCGGGAATTCTCTATGCGTTCCTTCTTCCACATCTCTTCCTTTCCTCGTCAGCTCGCTATTCCTGCCTCACAGTTCCAGCTAATCGTCCGCTTTAGCGTGTAACCACCCGCTTTATCTCCCGCTGGACTCTGCTTCATAATAACAGCTAAGTGCTACCACAGACGTCCACAAATGAGTAAACGGTGCGCCACCCGCTGATAAGGGTATTCCGCCGCAAGAAAGAATCGCGCGTGTCGGTATCCGCTTAATGCGCTCCGCGGCGAACGCGCGAGGATACACCGTGAATAATATCGCCGGCCCGCGATATAAATGCAAACGCGTATACGCGCGGTCCAGGTTTGACTAAAGGGTTACCCCGCTGCTTCGGCGTGCTGCTGCATGGCTGCTCGCACGAGGCGATAAATAGTGTCAGTTTGCGCCAATGCGACGGCGGACTTAAAAACCGAAGAACGGCTAACTGAACGCGATTAAGAGTTCGTGGGAATCGAATGCCTGTTGAACTTGGAGACTGACAAATCAATAATTAAGAGAATTAAAAAAAATTTGATGCAAAAGAATCAAATTTTGGAGAATCTTAAAGTTTAAAGAACTTTTAGAATTTAGGATCCGAATATATACTATAAATCACAGTACGACAAATTTCTTCTTCTTTAAATTGAAATATTTACTTTTATATTGTCTTTTCTTCTTTCTTTTACTTGGATTACGTTCATAATGGAAGAAAATGCCATATGTCATATTTTAATACAATTACTGTAAATTTGTTACTCTCCTTTACTATCGCATTATCAAATTCAGTTCAATGAACTTCGAATATAGAGTCTAATCCAATAGAAGCCAATAAGCCTAGAATCAGGAGTTACGATCTGTGGTAGTTACGATCCATACGATATATTGTAGTCCTCGTAGAGATCTATAAGACAAAAGGGAAAGAAATAAAGATGCGGCCTCGGGTCTTTCGTGAAATGACTCGACACCGGCAGGAAGGGTGAGACGGACGGACGGACGGGCGGACGGGCGGGCGGGAGAAGGAGGAGGTAAAGAAGAAGAAGAAGCGAGCGGTGGCCGTGGAGAGGAACGGGCGGACTCGCGCTTTGGAATGCTTTGAAAGGCCGCGAGCAGCTCTCTCTCGGCTAGAGCTGCTCGTTGGCCGCGGAGCGTAGGGGAGAAAAAGCAAAAGAGGAAGAGAGGCTGTCGGGGACGGTCTTGCTTCAATTAATTACCACATTGTCGTGCGGCCAACCGGCGCTGGATGTTCCACCGTGGTAATCTATGGAAGACCCGCTGCTCCTTGATTTAATCTCCTACGCGCTCTCTCGACCGCGCGAGCGGCGAATTTCGCGCGGCGCAATCGAACGGGCATCGAACGGGTGTTAAATAAAAAAAAAAAAAGAAAAACAGAGCCTCCAATAAATTATCGGAAGATAATAATCTTTCGGTTTTTCTACATGTCCTCCTTACTGATATTCTTATGCCCTTTATAACTTTTTTCCCGTTTTTTTTACGTTAATTCTTCAGAATCAAGCAAAGTTCTAAATGTATAATAATGTAGAAATACCCACTAATAATTTTAAAACTGTTAATTTTGAAATTTTCAATAGATTAAATAGTGATCCCAATTATACTAGATTCTTCCACACATCCACGTACTGTACTGTCAATCCAAACGGAGCGCGTTTTATTTGTGCGCGCGTTGTGGGCTATTTTAATAATTACACAAGCACACTTGTATCTTTACGTAGTTTATAGTCCCTATACATAATCTCCACATACATGATCTCTACATAGTTCTCAAGCTGGTACTTCTGACGTAATCGCGCAAAGCAAACTGCACAAGTCGTTACAAGACGGCGCGTATGCGACGCGCCGAGAGCTTAAAGCTCTCCCCCCGGCTTTCATCGCGAACCGCCTACCAATCAGCAGTCGCAAAGGCCGCGATGACAAGCGGATATACCTTCATTCGACGACGACGCCTACCACCGGGTCATCGCTCGTCATCACTTTGTGCATCATGGCGGTGATGTACTGCACCGTGAAACGACCGGGGCCGAGTTTATTGGCGTAGATAACGATAGCATCTCTCGCGGGCGTAGTCGTTCGTCTTTTTTCTCCTCTTCATCGTATCCCCCTCCCCCCTCTTCCTCCCGCCCTCCGTATACCCGCGCATCCTTCCGCCGGCCGGCGCATACATCACCGTCAGCTTATTTCCGTGCACCGCTGATGCATGCACGTAATTGGTTAGGCGGGGTAGCAAACGAAACGCTCGGCTCGTCGTTCTCCCACCGACAGACCGGCAAGCAGGGAAAGCACGATTCGCAGTGATTTGTTGGACATCGACACGCATTTTTGCTCCCGCAGAATCGAGGAACTAACTGGGAAACCTGTCTTTAATGAAATAACTGTGTTGGGCTATTTTAAATAATAATATAATTCATTTTTGCTTAAGTTATTCAATGACTAATTGTAAAATTAAATGACAGACGAGATTTCGATGATATATTTGAGCATTCGAGTTTAACTCGCTTTTTATCTTCTAATAATAAATGTCTTTACTAATTAAAATTATTAAACTTTTGCTAAGCAAAAGTTGTTTGAGAAATATCGAATCATTTTTATATGCCATTATTTAATAATAATTGTTACGAATGATGTTCGCATGTTCTGAAGAGCGTGCGACTACCGAAAGGGTTGAATTAATGGGCCACCACGGTGTCGAATTCTGGCGCGCGGACAACGTGAAAGTCAATGGGCCGTCCGCCGCTCCGTTCCCGTCGTCGACATTCTCTTTATAGCGCGCGCGAGAAAACGCATGGCCCCGATGTCACGCGGAAAATCCCGGCTATCGCCGTTAAAACGCGCCGGTATTTACGCGCTCGTATTTCTCTTGTCGTCCCATCATCACGATCACTGCGCCACGTGAGCAATGCGATCGTCGGGGATCCACGCTTCTCCTTGGCTCGCACGATTTGCCGCTCGAGAATTTCGTCGATCGACGACAACGACGGGGTGCCCGACGTTCTAGAGGACAGAGGATGATCGAGAAGTCGCACGATGAAAATCTAGATTCTAGAACGACGATCGCACGAGTAAACATTACAGAATGTTTCGTTGAATGAACGTACCCTATCTATCGAAATTCGAGATCTCGATGTTTTTACAGATCAAATTATGTATTAAATTTCAAAAGTGTTTATAACTGAAGGGCTTGCAGCAATGAGATAACACGTACAATGTACAGTCGAATATTGGTAGAAATGGTGGTGTTGGTAGAAATAAATGCATATACTTTCCTATCATTTTAACTTTAGAATTTAATTTTATCGTTTCCGTTTTTTACAAAATGTGTAGCCCTTAATTGTTGCAGCAAACCCCTTAATCGAGAAATCGAAAGTTAAAATTAGAATTAAAGAAGCGTTTGAAAAGATTGAAAATGACAGATTATATTCTACACTATTCTACAGCAGTCTTTATAGTTTCTCGGAATTCAAGATCTGGAATTTGCGGGGATTTCCCAGCGCTTTTCCCCGCTTTTGCTCTTTAACTGTCGTTCGTACGGCTCGCCATGACGATTCATCGTGATTCGTCATAACGATCCCGCATACCGATTGTGCTCCATGCAAACTGTATATATATCAATCTATCAATTAAACCGGTTAACCGGCGATCATTAACAATTGGCCAAGTGCTAAACGAACAACCGGTTAACTGGCATCGTTAACCTGTTAACCGATAAACAACACGATCGCGTGCGACGTTCGCATAAAAGCAATTACGATTCTTCCCAACGAAAAACCTCTCTCGCAGCGGCTCATTCACCTTAACCAGTCACTTTTATTTCACTCTTGTCGTCGACCGTTGCACATTTCACCAAAGAGATAGCTGCCACTACTAGTTTACAGCGTGAAATCAAAGTTATTAATCGAAATACCGCGACAGATTTTACAACAATCTACGCATCCATAAGGAAGTAGAAATTTGAAAGCAAGACTGTAAAAATTTAAGAATGTAAACGTTATCAACGCATCACATATTTAACAGTACTCGAAGAGCTATTGCGATATTTAGGGTTAGTTTATTCTTACTGCAAAAATAATTAATCATTTGTTAAATCACGTTGCCTAAAGAATCTCGGCAGAATCTTTATTAGACATAAAATAATTTTTTTTATATATGTAGGTTTACGTATAAATCAAGAAAATTTGCTAGATTTATCAGAATCATAGATTATGACTTTTGAAATCTGTACAGAATAAGATTCTAAGAATCGAGACGATGTTGCATACGAGACTAATTGCTTACCATTACAGCTGAATGTTCACCAAAGGTCCCTAGAAGCGGCCGGTATCGAGCTTTGCGGCGCCGGCGGAAGTGTCCCTCAAGGTCAGCCGAGCAGCGCGGGTTCCGTAGGGTCCGCGCCGAGTCCTGCGTCCCCAAGGCCAACGCCGCAATCGCGGCCGCCCCTCGCAACCACCACCTCGCAACCCTCGCGAACGTTGGACGACGACAGATCGACAGACGGTGAGACGATTAATTGTCTCGGTTTACAGCAACGTGTGTTTCGTCACGTGAACACCTGCGTATTAATACACCGGCTCGCAGGCGTGGGTGCCGGCACGACCGAGGACTCCGACGACGGCGAGAGCAGAGCGCAGTATGTTAATGCGAATTGCGTCGTGTTCACGCATTATCGGGGCGACGCGGCGTCCGAGGTGGAGGAACACTTTCAGAGGGCCCTCGCACACGACAAGTTAAAGGGTAAGATGCTAAAAAAATTATCTTTCTTTTCTATTCCACGTACACACATTTATAGAAAAATAACTTAATTAAAAAATATATACAATTATATTCAAGAATATAATTTTGTTCTGCGAATCCCTAAATGGATTTAAATCCGCTTTGTTCATTGTACCGATCGTCATGACGTTTGAATTTTGGGCTCCATCCACTTTCCGATCTCAATGAAGTCGAAACGTTTCCGAAGCGGGTATAATAAAGTACGCCATTAGGCGGCGACAAGGCTAACAAGCCTCGTGACAATTGTAGCTCGCTGCTCGTACTCGCGCGCGCCGACTTAAAACGCGGGCAGGGCAGGGTAGGGCCAGTGGAGGAGAAAAGAGCAGAGGGAACATCTCGGCCGCGAGAGAGAGAGAACGCAGGGGTCGAAGAGAGGCAGGAGGGAAGATTGTCAGCACGCGAGCGGGTTTGGCAAGCGATCGGCAAGCTCGTCTATATCGGTGTCGTTTAAGGCCGCATTTATCCCCCGACCACGATGCTCCCGAGGATCAGTTCAGTAGCCTGCTTAGAATTCAAGACAACACGACCTAATTGTTACGCCTCACCACTTCCCTCCCTCTTTCTCTTTCGTCCCCTCTTTCCTCACTCTCGTCGTTCCCTCTCTTCTGCTCGCGCCGCTAACTTCCCGCGTACCGCGTGCTCGTACGAATGGTAAATTAAGAGCTTCTGCTCCGGGAAAAGAGGGATGTGGCGGAGGAGCGCTGAGGAAAGACATTGTGAGGGAAAGGTGGGGGGCGAGGGGAGTGGAGAGCGCGGAGAGGCGACATCGCGGCAGACAGTTTTAGCCGCGGAATGCCGGGTAACGTACGTACAAGGACCGAACGACTTTGAGCCTAAACGCGCACGCTGCGAAAACAAAGAGGAAACCGGAGGAAGGGATGGCTCAATGGAGGAAGAGAGATACAAAGAGGAGAAGGGTTACTTTCGGAATTAAAAAGGAATTCGAGTAATTGGCTTGAAAAAATACGGTAGGGTTCCGGTTTGAAACAAACAGAAATTGTTTTGTTGCGTGGAAAGATAGTTATTTTTGGGACTGTGTATACGAAATGAGACAAATTTTACATACTTATCTAGTGATTAAATAAATTTAATTTATAAAAATGTAATGTGCTAGTAAAATACTTCAAAAGTATACTAATCTTGAATTTTTAGGTCATTATAAAAGCATGAATCAACGTTCTTTATATTATATAGAAAGAAATTAAATTTTATTAAATTGCACAATTAATTAATTTATCATAGATTGGTAATAAGAAGTAATATCTCAATTACATATATTATTATTACTATTCTAAAAATATTTCGCCGTTCGCTATTTAAGGACGAAAGGGTGCACGCGATTGCGAAAGCGGTATCGAGATTCGCAAGTCGTCGATTAAAACGTCGGCGTTTTCTGAAGTTCTGAGGAACACGCGGGTACTTATTGGCGAACCAGGCTTCGACAACCCTTTCTACCCGGTTCTCTCCCCCCCTCCCCCTTCCCCCGGCTCTCATGCACGTAGAGCGATATCCTTTCTCTCTTCGGTCGCGGCATCGGCAAAGAATAAAGCCGGCTGCAGACGGTCGACACTCTGTTTCTTTAATTGCGTTAATAAATAAAGGACAGTCGGCGGACCGAGGCCGAGGTAGATACTAGACGGGAAAGGAGAGAGAAGGGCCGCGAACGGGTCCCACGAGGTTTTCAGCCGTATTCCTGTCTATCTCGAGGATTAAAGGATCATACTTGTAGTGACAATACATGACAATGCAATATAATATTTTTTTAATTAGCTCTTTAATTATACTTTATTAAATGTACAACATATGCGTAACATATTGTCCTGCACATATTAAACTGTTAATGGCGAATATTCTTAAAGTTTCTATATTTAATTGGTACTTGATTTTCCACATTACGATAAAACATTTTTCTCAATATTTTTGAATAAAATTTTCTTATTAATAATTAAAAACAGAGATTTGTCCGTCTCGTACACGGAAAGAACAATTTTGCTGAATCCAGATCTGAAAATAATTTTTGTTCAATAATCAAAATAATTTTCCGCAAAAGTCAAAATGATAATTGAATGATAGAATATCAAAACGTTTTATAGCAGTGCTTATCAGTTTTAACATTTCAATAAATTATTTTGATAATTCAATAAAAAATTATTTTCAGATCTGTTTTTAGCAAAATTTTTTAGACCTCAACAAAATTGTTCTTTTTGTGTAAGAATAACAATTTATAAGTTAATGAAAAAGGACTATTGAGCCAATATATATCAATATATTAAATAATGCCACATAATACAATTCACAGTTTCAACCTTGAATAACAATCATCTTCAGTGTTATAATTGAGTCACAAAAATTAAAAATTTCTTATTAATTTTGAAAGTAGAATTTTTGATAGCGTAGCAGTTTGCTTAATTTTCTCATTTCTTTCAAATGAATGTCGTACTAGGTATAAAAAAAAAAGATTATGCCTATTGATCGAGATACAATGCTGATTGTCGCTATTCGTACATACTTAATAGAAATTCATCGACAAGCAGGAATCAATTTAATTTATAGCTCATTTGTAGATACTTCGGACCCGTGCGATTAATTAATCGTACGGTGTTATTACCACGCTATCGAGGATCGTAACCATGCGTTATGACCGTTTATGTAAGACCCGGTATTTCAACGTCGATTTACCGGTTAGGCCACCGTTGTCGTAAAACGTCGCTCTCTCGTGTCAAAATCTATATAATAAAAGATGTCCACTCGTCTGTTTATCCGTCGCGGTAATCCATAAAAATGCAAGGTATCGCGACATCAGGCCGGAGAATTTCTTTAATGAAAAATTATTCCACAAATATACGATTAGTCTCTCTCTCTCTCTTAACGGTAATTTAATGATAAATAACATATCGAAATTTTTATTGCACACAATAATTAAATCAATAATGTGTAATATCTGTAAATTATAACATATTTCGATACTATTTTTACCATTATTAATATATATTATGTGACACTATTATTAATTACATATTAGCATCACTTTGTGCGAATAATTAATGTAATAATGATAATAATAGTCGATCAATTCTTTTCGACCGAGCTTTATTAAAATATATTCGGTGTCGTTCCCACGGATTTCGAAGGGCTTCGCTAAACGGGCAGGCAGAATCCCACGGGATCAAATCGGCGGAAGGCAGAAGGGCACCGCTCGGTTGTTTTACAAGCGGCCACTCCGAAGCCAGAAGCTTGTCGTGTATCCTCCCGCGATCCTCTCTCGCGCGGTCCTCGCTCACGTTGGATTCCTCTCTTTCTTTCCTTCTCTTCCTTTTTTTTTGTTTTTAATCCATCCCCGGCCAATCGGAACGCGCGCCCGAAGGTTGTGGACCAACGCGAGGTCGACCGCGCCGGTCCACGATTTATGCCCTCTAATTCCTCCCCCCCCTCGCGCGCGCCCGCGCGCGATTTCATCTCCCGGCTAAGTCGCTTCGATTATCTGCTAGGAGAGGCATACCGGCTGCTAATTTACTCCGCCGTTACAAACTACGATGATTTAGCCGGCCAGCGACGTTATTTATTCCCGCTAGTTGGGACAAGTGGTTTCTGGTGGAAGCGCTTGTGGAACCCGTTTTTCCGGGAGGGAGGGAAAGAGAGAGAGAGAGAGACAGAACACTTTCTCCCCCCGCGGTGAAAGAAACAACGAGTTATCGGTGGTGTTCATCACTTAAGGATCATCGCTTTGGTACTATGTATATTTATGGCGTTGCCTGCCCTGAAAATCGTTCTTTTTTTTCTCTCAACAATGTACGACTCGCGCTTCTAAACGGGAAAAATAAGAATGGCGCGATATTTAGCAGCGCAGAATAGAGAATGTTCCTCGATCAGATTCCGACGGAGAGGCGTCGAGACGAAGCACGCGCTCGGATAAGGATTACATAAACAACCGGTAGGACCTTCCGATCGATCTCTTAGATATTTTCTATAGGGCCAAAACAAGAAGGTTTTATAAGAAAATTAAAGATTTCTTTCGCTCCTTCTCTCTTTTTTTTTCTCTTCGAGAATCTTTTCGTATAGACGTTTTCTCGCGCAAGCCATTAAAAGCGCTGCCATTTGTGAAACTGTGTTTTCTTTTTTTATTGCAGAAAATATCTCCCCCATGTCCATGAGGAACTTTCCCCCTTCCTTTTGGAATAGTCAGCATCCCAGTGATGTCTACGAGTACCCGACGGATCCGTGGCATCCGCATTACCCGCAGTACCATCACAGGTCAGTGCTACCGATCGCTGTTGTTGTTGTCCTCTATTTTTTCTATCTCTTCTTGTCTTTTCTCTCTTTTCATCTATCTCCGTTTCTATCTTTTCTCCGTTTTACATAAATGACACAGCTTCCTTTTTCTCCTGTTTTTTTAATAGGCATTCTTTACAATATTGCACTACGGAATATCGGCGCCGTACGTCCACGTCCCATTGATTCTTGATCGCGCGCGCATCGAGTAATTGCGTGTAACTCCAGCATCTCATCACACCGTAGAGACGTAAAACCGTGGGCAACATGCTGGGAATTTTTCCCAGTGAGCGCGCTATTAAATTCTACATAGCTCGTTAATTAGTGAGACGAGAATTTTCCAAACGCGGTCTTTACGGTGAATTAACTATTCGATAACTCTCGTTATTTCTTCTTTCTTCCTTTCTCATAACTGCGCGTTGATTCGTATTTCCGTTCTATACATTCAAAGCACGATACGTTGAGTGTCATCACTATTATGTGAATATGATCACCGTATTAGATGTAATTCGATATCGAACAAACAGATTTCCCCTGTAACATGTGATTTTGGAGCGGCAGCTGTCGTTAAAATAAAAGAGACTGAAGAAAAAGAAATCACAAAAGAGTTATATGCGTTACATGCGTTATGGGAGTGGAACAAGGAAAATTAAAACGAAAGGGAAAGAAAGTCGATATAGCTTCTGTCCCCTTTCTACGGCAACGACGACAGATTTGTAATTTATAGGTGTAGTCGAATCAGTGCTAAAGATCTCGGAGTTACCTGCTCCCGACGGTTTTCAGTATTTTTCACATGCCTCTTCGTTTTCGCTTTTAAAACCACGTCGCTGTCCCTCTTTCACTTCTTTATTTTCCTCTTTTACCTTACCCCTTTAAGATTGGCATCGGACTGATGACACACGTATTATTTTATGTCTCATCGATCGCGACACACTGTAATCAAGGCGATAATGTCGACATACTGAGAACCGTGATGCTATTTTTATGCGCTGGCTTGGCGCAATATATCTTTGTGTATCTCTGTACGCCAAAACACTATACGTTAATAATTAATTTTATTCATATATTTGATCCGAAAATCATATTGCATTTTGTAGCCACTACGTTAATAATTAATTTTATTCATATTTAATCCGAAAATCGTATTCCATTTTGTAGACACGAATCATTTTCTTCACAATTCTCACGTCGCGAATTTTCCCGTGGTTTTCTTTTTTCTAGGGCCGTGCACGAGTACCATCACCACAATATGGCAGCGGCGGCGAGCTACAGTGGCCTTCTGCTGGGTGGTGCACGCGGCCTCGGCCACCACACGTCTCACCACGCGGCGCATCACGCGCACGCCGCGGCGACCTACAAGGAGTGGACGTCGACGACGCCGTCGCAGTCCCTCGTCGACGCTTCTTCGGCGCCACCCTATCCTCACGGCCACTACGCACCCCTCTCCGGTAAGTAAGTAGACTTTTCCATGATTTGGTTTCATCAACGGCGAATGGACATTGAGGTAAACTCTCTTTCGAGAGAATGCATATCGTATATAGGAATATCGTGAATATCTGATTGTGAGACGTGAATTTCGCTTCTGTGAAATTCATTCAGAAAGAAAATATTGTGCAGTTTTAATAAGTAGCAGTAACGTTCGTCGTTGGTGAAGCTAATCGCTAATTATCGCGTTTTCCTTTAGTTTCATAAAAATAAAAAGCTTTGGATTTTTAATATTATAATTTTAACGAAGAAGAAAAAAGAAAATCTTTGCCAAGTTATAAATGATCAAATTAAATGTGAAACAATACATTGCGAATCAAAATTTCCCTTAACATTTATAGTTCAATATCATAATTATTTTTAGTGTCTACAATGGAGTTATTGCTCAAACAATATATTGCGAATCAAAATTTCCCTTAAATAACATTTATGGTTCAATATCGTAATGATTTAGGATCTATAATGGAGCTATATAATAATTAATGAAATTATATATATATATGTATATATATATAAAAGAGAAAGACTTTTGTTATTAAGCACTTACTCTCGGATTCCTGATACTTGTGCCTGATTTATCGCGCCGTCGCGATTCCCATCGCTTCATCTGATATACTCGCGTACGAATCGTCGGCATATCGACGGCGTATCAAAGATCCTGCCGTGTCCTGACTGTGTGTCGAGCGACAGCAGGATGGAGCTTTGCTCGGAATGGTGCGCGCAGGTATCGCAAGAAAGATCGGTCGGTCCCTCAGATGCTCGCAATTAATAAGGGCTTAATGGGAGCCGCGATCCATACGGCATCTCCTCCCCTTCGGCTCGGCGTTCACCCTGCACCAAAATCGTCCGCAGGACAAAAAGCCGCGGACGCATCCGCAAAACATCTCGCTTCTGCCGCGCCGCCAGGATCCCCGTCGCTCGTATCCTCGTTCCTTGAACGGCGCCGCTTCTCTCTCGGTGAATTATGCGAGGCAGAAAAATAGCGTTAAATTATGCGGCATATAGAAAAATATGGTACTTCTGTCTATCTCCGATCTAGTTTTTCTCGCGAGGAAAAGCCGCCAAGAAATTACAGTTCTTCGCGTGCGCAGCACAGATTTGATACGTTATTAAGATAAGAAGTTAATTATTTTTGCAATTATAAACTTTCTGAAAATGAATTGATAATAATACGTATGATATTCTAAAAGTAAATAACAGATAATTTAAAAATAAATTTAAATTACGACAACAATAATTAAAGAGCAATTTGTTTAAAATACGTTAAATACAATTAAATAATAACTGAATGTGATGTAGTTATTAAAACGTTTGTATTTTCTATAATATATTTGAAGAGAAGAGGGAAAAGGGAGAGATATTTGTTTTGATTTCTTATTTTGAATCGAATCGAATATTTTATTTTCACCCTGTAAAAGCGACAAAATCCGACCGCGCACAGTTGTGTACCCCATGTGATGCAGCTGCAGTAAACCGTGAAAAACCACGCCCATTGTGATTACAGAGACCACTCCCATCTGTCTGCACCCTGATGCACGCTTATACACGCCTTCCCCTCACCTCGATGCAGTCGCACAATTTCGCATATGGTCTTCGGAATTTTCTGAGACACACTCTTCTGCGAGCGACGTGTTGGAATTCTCGTCACTTTTATTTTTATTACTTTGTTCCTCTATATTTCCACCTTCTTCGGCTTCGTACTGCCAATTAGGATTATATGTATATACCGCGTCTAAATATATCTTCCGTTACTTCATTTCGACTTTACGTTCCTACAGTTTTCACATTTCTCGGTGGTGCACGGTTTCTTCGAATTTTAAACTTCTCAACTTCCTGATCCAATTTTACATTCCTGCGAACTTTACTTATAATGAAATCCGGAAGTGCACACTATCTATGCACACACAATGCATTTCGCACAAATTCTTAGATCGTCCGAATCCCATCTAACTTCCACGGCTGCCAAGGATCCTAGGCTGCTTGAATTCCGTTTCCCTTAGACGAAAGGCATGGCTGCCAGGCACGGGAACAGTGACATCCATCCCAAGAAGGGAGAGGAGGTCTAGTATCGATTTTGTACCCTCACTTTGCTATACGCCGAGACCAAGCATCGTGCCGCAAAATGAATCCCAACCCTCTGCCATCCCTCTTACAGTTCCCTTTCATTCGAGCAGCGGAACATTTGGGATAAAAATAAATACCATGAATCTAACGTTCTGTGTCTGTAAAAGGAGAAGAGTTACATATATAAGAAAAAAATTTATAAGAGATACAACATTTTGTAAGTCAAGAGAATAAAAACTTGTGTTACCAAGTCCTTTTTTCTATCATTAATATTTATAAATTAAATTTTACAATTGTTGGTTCCTTAGAATTAATTAATTGAAACAATTAAATATAAGAAAATTAAATAAAACATGAAATTTTATTGTGAAAAGTGTAAAACATAATTATTAATATGTTGAAATAAACTCACGACTGTGAGTTTGTTTGTGGAGAACTTAACGGAAACTAGTGTTCTGATCAAGGGACTCGCAAAAGAGTAATAGAGGGTGAAACAAGCGCTGGGTTCGGCAGAGGGTGAATTGGTGCGCAAAGTCTCCGAAGTATCTTTAAATTTAAGTGCCGCCATTACGGCGCTCGGCTCGGCAAACCGATTAGGTTCGCTGCCTGCGCGATGGCCGCCGCGCGTTCTCGGTAATTATATAATTGCGCAAAATTAACTCGAACCGCATAAATTGGCTGCCGTTTACGCTGTGATTAAGAGAAATAAATCGCAATTACCGGATGTCGCGCGTCCGCGTCTTAACATGGCGATGTCTTCGCTCACATGCATCATGCCGCTTTTATTTTGCGATTTGCCCGCTGTTTCCCGTGGGAAGCTGTCACGTTAGCTTCGCCAATTGGAGAACATAAACGATTCGATGTTGTCGATATCGTAAAGCAAATTACTTGAATCGTTTAGTCTCAAAAACGCGCGATTTAAGTTTTGTCTTGAAAAATCTTGCTAAAATGGATTATGTCATGTCTGATTGATTATAATAAATATTGTCTCTTGTACTGAATTAAAATAAATTTGAAAAAATCTATGTCTGGAAAATCTAAGGGAAGGATCTAAACATTGTATTTAAATTTAAGAGATTTCTGGGAAGACATTAATTTACTTTCAGAGAATAAATCGACAATTATTCGATAAGCCATCGACGTAATTATTTATTCTCCTACATACGCAATTTAATCTTTAGAATTTTATTTTAAATAAATTAATTTCTCTAAAGATTAATTGCCTTTTTGAATAAAAATAGTGTTGAACATGCGTTGCTACTGATTAGCTTGAGAACATGCGATAAAGAAATGAATAATTTATTCGCTGTACAGACACGCGTACGATTTTAATCTGTGGTGTCTGGTTTTAGATAAACAAGCTCAACATTCTTACCGTTCTGATAAATGAACTGTGTTCGGAATGCAGCGAACCCGAGGCAGGATCTAAAGATGCTATGGTTTAAACCATTTAGCAACTAAGATACCAGATTCTAAGGTATGCAAGTTCAAAGAATATCATGGATTTATCAAAACTAGACTGTAAAATCCGGATTCAGGCAGTTTTAAAGTGATTTTTCAAGCTAGAAAAATCGCATATTTATCTAAAAAAAACAAACAATTGACGTAGGATTCAAAATAAACACCAATTAATACAGAATTTAAGGGACTTGAAATCGGGAATAAAAAAAATCTAGGATCACTACGAAATCCAGAATCCAATTAATTTAGAATCCAGAAAACACTTAAGGTCCAACTTGGGGTGCAAGACAATGTATATACATATAAATTTCTTTTCGGATCTAAGACATTCTTCATGGAACATTCTCGCGCGGCGTAATCCGTCGGCGCTCCCGTACGCTTTCTGGGCTTTCTGGCACGCGCCTCGAAAATGGCGTCGTACAATGACGTCACGTAATTCACCGTTGCAGAAGAAGGGAAAGAGAGACTCGGGCCAGCCGGGGATGGCCAGTCATCCTCGATTGGTCAGCCTGCGAACGGAGGGAGTGGTCGAGCGGCTGCTGGTTATATCGATCTCTGGAACTCTGCTAGCTTCTCTACGAACGAAGCGAACCAGACAGGTCGCCGCATTGGCGAACACGCGAGATTCATCGTGTCCTCTTCGTCCTTTTAGCCGTCCTTTATCTTTTTTTAATCTTTCAATCTGAAATCTTGGAATTCCCGATACTTTTGCATTATTTTTCATATATTTCTGTATGAAGAATGTGTGAACCGTACGAGATATACAAGTTCCTAAATTGAAGTTATTATTTTATGTACGATACGTACAGTAGATGTCTTTAAAACTCTTAAAAACTTTAAAACTCTTCGCGCTTTGACATTAAGAAACGTAAAATTCTTATGGTTTATAATCGTCAAGACTAGGGTATCCCGAAATTATCAGTTTCTTCTTGCGTTCTTTGATCTCCTCGCGCCTCTCGTTATACAGAATGTAAAACGAAGATGATCACCTTTCGACCTGCGACCGCTTGAAAAGCGCGCCCGACGTTCAGAAACAAGGGCATCGAGATTAAATTAAATCGAACACCCTCGCTCTGCAAAAAGTGAGGACTCGACCCTTACTATCCCTTCACCGGCGAGAGATGCGCGCAAGGGACGAAGCATTGTGATGACCCTTATCAATGGGGGGAAGGGTCAGACCCCTCACCGTCCGGAATCCAATATACTTGAACTCGTTGTAAGCCTGGTCGACTGACGCCCCTCTTGAACTCGTATGCACCGATGAGCGACTATTAATTACAAATTAAACCTCCCAAATCTCCAGGATCATCGACGTGTGTCGGACGCAATATTGCACACGTCGAAACTGCGCCTTCTTCCTCCCCTAAATCAGCTTACACGAGAACAAACGTCCAGTCGCTTGTATAATAAAGACAAAAGATTTGTTTAAAATTTCTAAGATTAGAGCGTTCAAAATCTCATATTTATCTTATTCTGACAAGATCAAAAGAGATCGTTGTTTATCATAATAGAAGTATATGTATAAGAATATTAATTATCAAATTTTAAAAGCCCACAAAAAGAACGATTTTGCTCTAAAAGATCTAAAATTTTGCTGAATACAAAATTGAGAAAATAAATTTCGTTGAATCATCAAACAAATTATGTTGACAAAAAATGGTTGCTAGAATATGAAAATTTGTCGATACTCTAACATATATTTTTTGATGATTTAATAAAATTTATTAGAACTATTTATTTGATGAGAGAGAAAAAGAGAGAGACTAAAATTCGATGATTATACGTAAGTATAATTAAGTATGACTGAAATTGATATTTCGGACACACATTCGGTCATTGAAATTTTACCCTGTTGGAATTAGTTGCGTGCGGCATTCCTCGTGCCGCTTCTTGCCGCAAACACAGAGGGTGACTTCGTGATAATATGGCAAACATCGGGCAATATTGTCCGGGGTTATTCGACACACTATTCACCAAACTGCCCCTTGTCTCTCGCCATTTTCCTGGTATGGGCTAGCATGGGCTATATCGGTTTCGCATACGTACGGCGAATATGCGTATGTATACGCGACTCGCATAAATCGTCTCAGCCGGTGACACTTATGGCGCATTACTCGGTATTCACAGTAGTTGCTGGATATATTGAATTAGGATGTCCTCCCACGATGATTATACGTCGGCGTTTCTGCTCGGGATTTCTGTGTGAACGATTAACGACGTTACAAGGATTACCACGATGACCATGCTAGATTATTGCATTTCTCAATAAGTTTCTATATCATTACACGGAAAGAACAATTTTGCTGAATCCAGATCTGAAAATAATTTGTGTTCAATAATCAAAATAATTTTGTGCGAAAGTCAAAATGATTGCTAAAATATCAAAACGTTTTATAGCAATGCTTATCAGTTTCAACATTCCAACAAATTATTTTAATGATTCAACGAAAAATTATTTTCAGATCTGTTTTTAGCAATATTTTTAGACCTTTCAACAAAATCATTCTTTCCGTGTAGTAAAATAATTGCGAGGAAGAGCTATGATTTTGAAAGAAATTTGATTCAACATCGATATAATTATTCTCAGTTTTATCTAATTATTTTATTAATAATGATTTACTTATTAATTATTAATGTTATTTATTTATTAGTAATTTACTTATGAATTATTATTTTTGTTTATGTACACGTAATTAGTAAATTAATTTCAAGTGTACGATAAAAAGCTAAAGTAACATTAATTTATACCATTTAGCGTAATCGACAATTTTCGTATGAACTTCGGGATAAAGATTGCGTTTCGCGAAGGAATCGCGCGCCGCGTTTATCATATTCTTAAGCAATGCAGAACGGGATGTTTCCGTTTGAAACCTCAAACGCACACAGATCAGCGAATACGAAGTTACAGACGGACGCACCTGTTATGAATGTTCCAGCATTCAATATCGCGATATCAAAGAGCACTGCGAGATCCCGCGCGAAGGAATTCCCTTTTAGTCCTACCGACAAAGAAGTGAGGCGTATACAAACTCCAAGGAAACCGGCGCGGCGAAACGAAACGTTCTGTCAGAAATTGCCAAGAATTTCTCCGTTACGCGACGCTTACTTAAAATTTCAATCACGCAACATAACATTCTAAATAAACTAACGGAGTCAAGGCCACGAATAATCTACAATTTAAGCGGAAAAAGCGTACATTTCTTGCACTTTCACCTTTCATCCGTTTTTAGAAAAAATTATATCTGCTTTCAACTTATATTGTATAATCAATCACAACCGACTCTTATATTCTCGACTATTCTTTTGCAGATAAATTAGAATATAATAACTAGGAATAATAAATATAATGTATAGAATAGAAAGTAATTACTTTAATTGAGTATAAAATAATAAGCAAATAATTTTACTTTATCGGATTTATTGCTGAAAACATTATGTATCTCCAATATCGTTAATTAACACTCTTCCTATATATAATGCTCTTTTTTTATATACTGTACTTTCAAATTGGATATGTTCACCATCACGAGTACATTGAGCAACAGTTAATTTACAATAATTTTCAATAATGTGTAAATAACTTATAAATTAATTCAATAATAGATTGTATAAAAAAATTTTGATTTCAAGTAATTCATCATCATATACATTTCTGATGTAATCGATCTGTCACGATAATTTTTAGAGTGTGTTTTCCTTTCTATCCGCCGGCACTTTCCTTGATCATTTTCCAGTTCAGTGACTCTCTCGATCAAATAATACTTTGCGTTCCACGCGACGCCACTCACACGCTCGGAGCCCTTTGTGTTCGCACCCGCGCGCACGTATATACCTATATATGCGTGCGTGCGCCAATATGGCGACGTGTATATCATGGGTCGCACCATAGCACGTTGCTGACTTTGAAGCAGGTAGATACGTCCACGTGCCGACACGTGTGTATCGATGGATACAAACTCAATCTCCCCCGTATCGGTGCTGGCAATTCACGATGTCGAAACGTCGATCTGTTGCACGATAATCGAACGCGCGGCTCGCTCGTGATCCGATGAAGAAATATTGAAAAGAGATATCTACAGTTTTAGAGATATCCTTTGATCGTTGTAGTGATTTAATTCAGTTACGCGTTTCACAACGACGACATTTTTATCATTTTTTGTTTCATTTAATCTTCCGAAATAATTATTAAATTATATGCAGAAATTTTTTATATAGAATATCGTATAATACGTACGGAGAGAATTTTTTTTTTTATTTATCCTGCAAATCATGTTAATTGTGGAACAATATAGTATTTAGGCAAATTTTACTGTGCACTACAAGAAATTTTACTGTATTTTACTACTGTCAAATTTATTGTAGTGCACAATAAAATTTTCCTAAATACTATATTGTTCCACAATTAACATGATTTGCAGGGTAAATTAAAAAAAAATTCTCTCCGTGTAGTATTATACATATATGTATAATGTAGTATTATATATAATATGTGCACGGAAAGAACAATTTTACTGAAAGATCTAAAATTTTAGTACAGATTTGGAAATATTGGACTATCAAAAAAATTATGTTGAAATATCAAAAAATTTTTAATAATTTTGCGTTTCTAACATAATTTTTTGGCGGTCCAACAGAAATTATTTTTAGATCTGTATCCAGCTCTAAATTTTAGATCTTTTAACAAAATCATTTTTTCCATGCAATATTATACGATACCCGATGTCGTCACAGTACGAAATAATATTCGTCCTGCGGAACTATTCGACGATTATACAGCAGATTATCGCGCCTTCCTAAACTTAAGAATGTTGTATCGACAACAATGATCTGTCGATTCACTCTTCGGTATATAACGAGATATGAGATAAATTCGACCACAAGGGACATGAGATCTTAACTGGTCGGTCTCGTGACATCAGGCCCCATCTGTCCATTCGTTCGTCCGTCCGTCGGTTTGTCCGTGTTGCTCAGCGGGTGCCATCACCAGTTCTGCACCCTCGCATCCGTCATAACGTTGTCTCTCCTTTTATTACTACCGATAAATAATTTTGAGCAATGACAAGAGACGTCTTTCAGATCGAAAAGCAGTTTGAAACAGCTGATTGCTTGTATAACGTTTAGAGATCTCTCACTGGAGTGCTAGAAGCCTTTTTGTATATAAGATTGATGTTTTACTTGGTAATACTGCTTTCAGACAACCGCGAGACTTATAGCAGCTGTTTTAAAAAAGTAGCAAAGTCTTTAATATATACATACATGGAAAGAACAGTTTTGCTCAAGTGTCTAAAAATTTAGATACATCTCTGAAAATAATTTTGTTGAATCATCAAAACACCTAATTATGTAGAACGCTTAAACGTTGATGACAATGTTGCAAGAAGTTTAACATTTTAACAACTATAGTTTGAGCGTCCTACATAATTATTTTGATGGTCCAAACAAAATTATTTTCAAATCTGTATCTAATTAAAATTTTAAATATTTAGCAAAACCATATGTATAATATCTTTCTGTATGTAATATATATAACAGAATTTACACTTTAAATAAAAAGCTGAAATATATTGATATGGATTCAATGAATTGTATATTCAACAATTTCACTCTTCGCTGTTGCAGGACTCGAGTCTCAAGTTCAGGATTCCAAGGACCTCTACTGGTTCTAGGATCGAGCGTTGGAGATCGGCAGGAGGCATGCGGTTTCCTTAAATTCAGAGGACGACTGAAGGATTGTGTTTCGATTAATAAGAAAATTTAATAATGCGATCTGACGATGTGGATAGACGCGAATGTGACAGGAACGGAGGACTTTGTTAAGGAAAAATAACGACTGAGATGTCCGTCGTTGTCATGTACATAATGTTACCTACATCTTTTAAGGATCTACTATTAGCGTAAAACAGATAGTATTAGACGAATACTTGCGCGCACTATTACCTTTATAGTGACATGCTGTGTCTGGCGCCGAAGAGAGAAATTGGCCGTGAGAATGCGACCGAGAATTGTCTTCAGCTGATACAATAGCGTAGCGCGATCTAGACCGTCAAGGCACATCTAAATTTTCCAAATAATTAACATGTATCTCCGATTTTTTCTATTTCTCTCTAAAACATTAAGTCTGTGAATTTGATATTTCATTAAAAATGTAATGGTTAAATAATAACAATCTACGAAAATTTGCTAGGAGCAAGTTTGAATTCAAAGAGCAAAATTTTTTAAAAATTTATATCGGTGTATCGCTAATCAAAATTAGGAAATAATTATTTGGCAAATTTAGCTGCCGACTTAAGTGAAGTATTTATTGACCAATGATCTTGCCATATATATAAATATATTATTATTATTAATTATTATTATTATTATTAATGTATCATAAACAATAGGCGCCGCAAATATTCTGAAATCTTCCCGAGTTAGCGAATTAAAATAGTTATTATCCGACGAGTCAACTATTATTCTTTGCACCCCTGGCTGCACCCCTCGCATATCTTATCTCTTCATCTCTCAAATCTTTTCCACCTGCTACTCCACCGTTTAGTATCTGTTCGGTATAATCACCATCGTATTGCCTACATTAAGCACATCGTATCCATCTCATGTTATCGCCTGTCTAATTGTTAAATAAATAATTCGCATATCACATTCGCTTTTTCTATTTACCGTCAATATTTATATTTATTTTTCTTCGATTGTAATCGATGTCCCAATTTTTCACACTCCTTGAATTTCTATGGATTTTTTATTTTCTTGATTTTTCTATTTCTGCGAATTAATGTTACATAAAACAAAAGCGAGATATTTGATTATTTTTCTGATTATATATTTTAATATCTATATGTATATAGTGTAATACATATATTTTTTAATTAATGATATATTTTTTAATTTATAAATTTACTCACTTTTTAATTAACCTTATTTTTACAGTTGTAATTTCAGCTTAAACCAATTAATTCTTAAAAGCAATTTTTATCATAGAAAATTTTATATTTCTACGGTTCGTTACGTTCACACGAGTTAATTACACATCGTTAAATTTAGTAGTGCTTCAGATGAGAAAGTTAATGGAGCACGTAATAAGAACAGGAAGTTTAATCTACTTTCTGTCTAACCGCAAGTTTCCAAGTTTCTTCTTTTGAAAAATGCAGGTAAGCGAAGTGTTGCAAATTATAACATTAAATATTTTACATTAAAATTTTGACACGGGGAATCAATTATCATTTTTCTCATCTACTTTGCATCTATTCCATGAAGAAATAATGTTTGATTAACAGAGAACATGCAAGGAGACACTTTGCCAGAGATTTTACAAGAAAACTTGATGTTCTGCATACAGCGTAATAACTTGCGGGTATTAATTTGAGCTCGTAACACGTGGGACTTGCGCATTTGTTTTCCCGGACGCAGGCGGAAGTAACGCTAACGAGATGAGAAAACGAGCAATTAACTTCGTCACTTCGGCCGAGGAGGAAACGCGCAGATGATCGACGCGCGCGTTATCACGTGTAAAGCATATGTTGGTCGTAGTCGGCTCCAAGATAAATGGCGTTTAGTAAGTTATTATTACTGCCGCGAGTTTTTAACGTGCATTACTTGACGCGGCGATATGAGATTGCGTCAAAACAGGCAGCAACTTTTGCTACAAAGAGCCAGTCAACCGTAACCTTCCAGAAAATATATATCAATCATTTTTTTCTTCAACATAAAAATGAGTGATTTGTCCTCCAAGAAAAGGAAAAATGGAATTCTTTATCTACGTTTTAAGTAAGATATATTGTACTTATTTCAACAGAAGCAATAAATTAAAAAAATCAGAATTCCACGATTTTTATTGTGCAATGTATTAAACGCACTACATCGAGATTTGAATGCATAAATGCAATTAATAATATTTTCTAGCGAATAACTCGTGATTTTTTTACTGGCACATATACGATGCAGAGTGATGTTAACTTATGCGTTATAAATATTCTGTAAAGGATCGCGTTTTATCCGGCAATTTAACATTGTCGACTCTGGTCGGGACTTCGCCCCGGCAGCATACATAAATCAGTCTGTTCCGTTTCTTCTACCGTTTCGTATGATCCCCGTGTTTTCTTACGCAATCGTGCATATGCCTCAGCTAGACGCGGAAAAACTACCGGCAGGAAGCCACGTGAGACCCACGTGAAGGCGAAATACCGCGAGCTTCCTGGTTTTCATTTTTTTTGTAAATATTATTTAGCCAAAAATATTTATTTTTATAATGGTAAAGAAGGCTAGAATAATATTAAATTAAAATTTTACTACATCAAAGATTCTTTTAAATAAAGTAACCTTTAATTTGTTTTATTAAATGTATAAAATAAATTTTCTATATAGAATCATTAAATTTTTTATTAATATACATAGCAATATGATATTTTTAATTTTTATTTAATTCATCACATTAATGGAAATTAGTTTAAAATTATTAAAAATTATTTAAGTCTATACTGTTCAAGAAAACATTTAATTTGCTGTGATCAATAATAAGCCTTATCTACTCGTGTGTGTGTGTGTGTGTGTGTGTGTATGTGTATGTGTGTGTGTGTGTGCAGAATTTATGTGGCGTTTAAATTCCGAAACGTGATTTTCGGAATGCATTTAAACTTCGCCGAGCCTATCGCGCGCGAGATAACTTTTCGCCCGCCGAAGAAGTATCCTTTGTAACGTGTCGGTCTTGTCGGGCTTCTCTTACTTTATGAGCGGTAATTAAGTGCCTCGGTAATAACGGCAAAATGTTGCTCCGTTGTTGCCTCATAATCTCCGATCGGGTTCCTATTTCAATAAACGGTAGCCGCCAATAAATCCAGTATATAATAAAATAAATTCTCGTACGGCAACCGAGGGTCTAGAATTTCTCGATTCTCGGATAAGAAGAAAACAGCCGACATACGGTGATACATAAGGTGACTGTTTTCTTCACAAAATAAAAATTAATTCTTTATTAGCAAAAATAAAATTAAAAAATTGATTACGATCGATTAAACTGCATATTTAAACTGCTTATAACACAAATTCTGATAATAGAAATGAATGCCGATGTCATATTCTTTATAAAGTTTAATATAAAAGTAATAGCATAGAAACACCGTGTATATATGAAAGAGAAGGCTATAAAGAAAGATAGAAAAAGGGAAGGAGAGAGAAGTGAAATTTATTGCCAGTCTCTAAAATATATTATGCTGTTGTAATTAGCTGGCCTTTGTTTGGTAAGTTTGGTCGATAGTTTATTCACTGTTCCCATTATGCCAGTGATGAAATCGCATTTGCGAATTTATTAGCGCAATTAACGTAGAAATTAGAATATTAAAACGGGAGATGTAAAATGGCTTTCTCTATCCAGTCCCTTTACTCGTAAACATTTATACTGAATATACTGTATATATTTGTTGAAGAATTTACATCTGAATGTGAATATTGTAGCGTAGAAATAATTTAATTAAATTAAACTTTTATATAATAGAAATATTGAAAGAGCATTAGATATTTGCGCAATAAATAATCAAACACTTGCGCGCGAATCACCCCTCAGTTCTCGGTAATTAAATACCGAATACACGGGCTCCCCCTTTTGTCGTAACCTACTGGGATGATATGGGGGAAAGGATCGAGTGGATATTGCACCAACGCAATAAATAGCCCGACCGTGAATATGAATATTAATTGTACTTTTTGAATTTCTCGATCATTTGTCACGCGTCAACGTCCGAATTTCCCGGCAGCTGCACAAATTGATTCTAATTCTACATTTAATTAATTATCTTGAAATAGTTTCGTTTATATAATTCCTTTTCTTCCTTTGAATAGCTTTTTGCGTTACGCGAATTTTTCTAAATATTTTTTGTCTGCATAGGTATATTAAATGTGTCGAACGTAAATAAGAATTCACACGTGTGGCGAGGACGGGAATGAAGAAATAAAAAGTATCGGAAGCGTCTCCTTTCGAATTTATCGAAATTCCTGGTTTACCCAAAATTACCATCGGCCACAATATTATACCTTCATCTTCACCCTAGACCCCACGTGATATTAGCGTCGTCTCCCACGAGGTAAATTTATGATCAGGGAAATAGTAGGAACTCTCGTCGTCCTAAGCTTCTCCCCTCCCTTCCTCCCTCATTCTCCTGCCACCAGCGCGCGCTGTCCACGGTAGGAATCCCCCATTACATAAACGAGCCGCATGTCCTCTCGTACATAGAATAGACAGGGAACATTCGGCTATCTCTCGTGGCTGACATAGGCGTAGATAAACGCATAGATATAATCGTGGTCATGCTGACAGAAGTCTCTCCGCTTCTCCTCCTCCTCCTCCTCCTCCCGCTCTCGCGCAAGGGGCCACCTGCCCCGCGGGAGGCCCCTTCAAGATAGATCGAAGACGATCGCGGTGGATCTTCGTACAGCCGGCTTGGATCATTGGGGAATTAGGGAGCATGATTCGAGCATTCCACGGTGTCGCGATCCTCGGGTCCTCGGAGGAATGGACCGCCGCCGGTCAACTACGATCGGCGGGGACATCTTTTCCAAAGACGGAAGTCCGGAAGCCGCTGGTGTACCTCATTAAGCATGTTACACACCACGATAGAGTTATCTTACAACGAATTTCACGAAAATACGAATTTCTCGAAATAAAAATATATCAGATAAGCCAATTAATAAATTAGAGACACATAAACAAAGAGAATATATTCTAAGAAATTGTAGCAAATCGTAGTAAACTATTCAGTAAGAAAATTCGTA